GCCCCCGCGTGCGCCGCGCTCCGAGCCCGGGGGAAGGGCGGGAAACATCGCAGCCTAAGAACCTGCCGGGGGCCCCGGTAACCGAGCTCCGTCCTCCGCACTGCCGGTCACTGCTGGTCGCGATGGCACAGACTCCTGACGTTAAAAACCGCCCTTGAACCAGAACAGCTTTTCACTGTTAAATGCTCTTTATTGTTCTCTCCATCCCGTTATCCCATAAACATCCTTACATACAGCCAAAGCTGCCCCGTGGGGAACGGCCCCTGCCCTCCTCACCCCAAACACCCACAGACGCGCCCGCGGGCTGAGCGGGTTCTGGGGCTGCACGCCCGCTCCTGGAGCAAACAGCAGCACGGCCGCTGTGGTACTCGCTCGCGTGTGAACAAATCTTTAGGAAAGCCTTTAAAAGGCAAGTCTGTGACTCTGGCATCCTCAGTCATTTGCCGAAACATGTTATTGGGTTCAAGTGAATATAAACTAGATTTTGCATAAACTTTGTGTTAACGCCACGCTCAACTTCCATGGAGTTTTAAAGACCCAGTTCTAGGTCTTCCAGTTCCTGGAGGAGAGCAGTTTCTTTCTGAATCTTCTCCAACTAGAAGAAAAAAAGCACAGGATGTCACAGACGTCGCTATTAGAAAATGAAACTTGAATAAACTGTACACATCTTAACAGTACCTGGTTTTTCTCCAGCTGTTTGCCAGCAGCTGCTTGTTCCTTCAGCTGCTCAATTGCCTTTAGTTTCTGTACAAAAACAAACAAAAAGACTACACTAACACAAAAATATTGGTGAATCAAACCATTTCAGAAGTTCCTGCACTTGCAATGCCCTGATTTCCCAGGAGGCAGGTCTCGATACAGAAGACACATTTCATTTAAGCATCTCCAGATGCTCAGCCCAGAATTTCCCACCAATAAAACCAGACGTGTTTCTTAAAACATCCTGCATTATCTCACTGAAGGGCTAGATCCAAATTCAGAAATTACTACTCCACTATCACTATCCTGCTTGGCCACACATTTTCCTCAGAAAGCCTGGAATATTAATCCAAACAGAGACCATGAAAAGCAGGAGACAGGCAAGAGAAAAAAACCTGATGGATTATGCAGAAACGGGAAATATTCTCTAGCCTGAACCAAACAACTTCCATTCTGAAATTATTCAATCCAAGAATTTCCCAGATTGGCAGTAAACTTCGCACCCAGACCATTTAGAAGTTGGGGAAGAAACCCGAACGACATGGCACAGCTCCCTCCTCAGATCCCAGACCACCAAACAGGCAGCCCCACAGAGCTGCTTCTGAGCAGGAACACCTCGAAGCTGCACCCCTATAGCCCTCAGCCGTGAGGGCTGGGTGCACGTGCAACAGCATTCCCAGCAGGAGACTGAATACTCCCCTGCACCCGTCTGTGGCTTCCACGCTGCCACCTCGGGGAGGATCTTTAGGAGCCCTGGCAAGGGATGAGCTCCACTGTCTTGCAACGTGGAAAAGCAAAGGAGGCTGGTTTACAAATTCAGGAAATCTCCATCAATGTAAATGCTCCTGAGCTCAAGGCACCTTCCAATCAGACTAGATCTTACAGTCCATCTCTTAGAGAATCTGCTGTTTGCTAAGGAAAAAAAAAATCCCCTCACCTTTTTTAAATTCTTTATCTTCTTGTCGACTTCAGGATCTCCTGATGTGACAGCAGGCGCAGCACTCCGGGGTGCATTCTGTGGTGCTGAGGACTGCGTAGAGTCCTGGTTTGCCTCAGCTCTGGCCTCCTGCAGACAAATAAACACATTATCTAGAAAATACCTTTGACTACAAAGGGACTGAGAAAGTCTTTAATAATTTTAAGGGATCCATTTAATATTTCTTCTTTCACTAATTTGCAAGTGTACTCCAAAATTTGTGACTTGTTTTGATGTACTGCATTACCTAGATATGTGCTTTCTAGGAAAAAAAAGATTATCTAACAACTCACATGCTGTTTCTTATTTAATTTCTACTTCCTCAAGACACCAACCATACACAGCACAGGGAAACATCAGTAAGGGTGACATGCCAGACACATACACAAAGTAGTAGACTGGTGGGTCATTGTCTCTGAAGTAAAAGAAAGGGCTCAAAACCAGTGCAAGAAATTAAAAAAAAAAAAAATCTTACTTAAAGAAAATATTGCTTCAGAAGTTTGTAGGAATTGGAAGGCTAATACCAAAAGCTGAATTTTATCTACCTAGCCAAAGAACAGCAAGCACAGAGGTGACCCAGAACAGGCTGTCTCTGGTCTGCCCTGGTGACAGCCTCAGCCCTGACCTGCTGGGGGGACAGACTGGTGTGTCTGTTCTCACCTCTCACCTCACGCTGAAAAACACCACGCAAATTATCCTTGAAAGAACCACTTTTGTACCTGTTTAGCAGCTTTCTTTGCTTCATGTTTCCTTTGGTTTTTGAGAGCGGTTTTAGAGAGTGGCTTGTCACTGCCTCCCGACTGTGGTTTCATATTCTGAGGTGGCTCATTCTCGTGCTGCAGGATATGCAAAAGTAACAGTTACAAAATCCATATTCCATGTTGGCAAGAGAGTCGGTACAATAAAACCTAACAGGGAACCCCTAAACCTGCTTAGGACACCATATGCAAAGATGAACCGTAAAGGAAGAAGAAGAAAAAACAAAGAAAGAAAGAGGAAAAAAAAGTGTCCTTTCTCCTTTGAGTAGCAGGAGACAGCATGAAAAGGGTTTCAAACTCATTCATTCTCAAGTTTGGATGGGGCTATCCTGCTTGTTCTAGAGATTTCATGGATTTCTGATAAAATAACAAAATCGGCATGTTTTCTATCTCAGGGGGGAAATAAAATCAAAGAGGAATAAATCAGCACAAAATGACTAAATAACTGAAGCTTGGCATTTTGCTTTTGCTGACAACTTCTTAACTCAAACTCCTAGTGACAAGAAAGGAAAAATAATGGGTTGCTGGGAGGGGAGATGGGGTGGGTGGGGAGTGGTTGAGTCTTTTGGGTTTTTTAAGGTAACCCTTAATTGAGGAGTTGGATTGTTTAAATGCATATAACAAGATTCTTGCCCATATAAGTAAACAGAATTATTTCACTTAAAGCATCTTTTATCTACTACCTCTGCTTGTGGATCATTTGTGAAATTAGACATTGGCATGATTAATAGATTCCTCACAAGCTGAGCAGCAGCCTTTCCTTCAACAGCACCAGGCTCAAAATCGAAGCTCCCTAGGACTTAAACATCAAGGGTGCAATTGTTAAATGTAATTAGCTGCTACTCAGCCTACTTTGAAAACTTGCAGAAAATAAACTAATTAGACAAGTAGGTCGCTATACTGAACCTGGTTAAACTGCAGCTGACTTGCTCACAATCAAATCTTTTTCTAGCAAGTAAGCTTACCTTAAAAAAAAAAAAAAAAAAAAACAAACAAAAAAGTTTGCAAATGACTTTGTAAAAGGAAAGTATTTGGACCAAAGAAATGCCAGTTTTCTAGCATGTGTTCTTGTCAGCAAAGTGTCAAAGAGGATTAAGAAAACCTCTCAAAAAACCCACACCATTACCGTCTGCCTGATTGCCATATTTGAGGCCAGGCTTCAAAGACGGGCAAAGCCATGAAAGGGAACAATTTTGTTCATATATGAACCTGTCTACTTACGAGCTTGGAACTTGTTACAGGTTTGTTTCTGAGGGCTGGAGGTCTGTAGGCTTGAGCAGGCTTTGGCTCAGCACTGGGCAGTTCACTTGGAACTGCCTGGTATTTTACTGCTTTTGCAGGGAACACTCCATCCAAGAAGGGCTGCCAGAAAACCTGCCACATTTCTTCGTTAGATGGAACTTCGTAGTGGTGCAACAGGGAGCCAGTGTAGTGCCAGATCTTGTAACCGTTACTGACTCGCAGCCTGGGAGCACACGTTGCTGTCACAATATGCTCCCCGTCAGGACACCAAGCAAAGTATGTGGAATCCGAGGCTACTGGTTTGGAAATGACTTTGTAGTTTTTAACGTCCCACACTTCCATCTGTCCCCTGAGATTTCCAAATCCTGCCAGCACCAGGATGTGTCCGTGGGGGCTGTAGTAGGCAGCATTGCGAGGACCGGTTCCAAAATCAAACACAGGGTCACATTTCAGATTGAAAACTGTTGCTTTGGCAGGCATAAAACCATACACAGCACAGAACTCGTCAGAATTGGGGTTCCAAACTACATCATAAATGGGACCATTTTTTGCTAAAGGAAGAGGAAAATATGCAGCTGTTGTTAGTTGACTCTATCTTTTCAGTGCAAGCAAAAATAAAATCAGCAGCGATTCTTAACTCCATGCTTTGCTAAAATGCTGTGATCTCATTATTGACAGTGAAAATGAATTCTGCTAATAGAGGTAGAAACAGCATTTTCTCTTCTGATTACTTTAGTTAAGGTTTGCAACAATAACTGCAGCCATTCCCAATTACCTCTGTAGGGTCAGCATCAGCACTTTAACAGTAAGCATATTTTTTTCATGTAAAAAAATTCCTTTATTTTTTCCTGTTATACAAGTATGATCTCTCAGGACCTTCTCAAACTGCCCCACTGGAAACCTGCAAAAACAGGAGTTTTATACCAGCTGGACACTAGTTCCTCTTTTTTTAAATCTAAGAAATATTGCATAGCTCATCTTTGCCGAGCTGAGAAATACCGATCTAAGTTACCTTCAGGCCATGCTCACACAGGTGTTTTACAAGACAGATTTTTAAAGTGAGAGAGCACACAAAAAATGGTTTTACACATAATGATTAAGATTTGGTATTGTTAGAAACTCTTCTGGGATCAGAACATCAGGAGATACTGAACAATGATGAATTAGTGATGGAAACTCATGCAGAATGCAGAGGGGTAAATAAAAACCACAGGTCATTGTAACGTTTCAGCGCATTACTGTCAATTCTTAAATCCAGACGTTGACCCAAATATCAAACCGATTAAATTGTTCATTCCTGTTGCCATTCTAAAGCCTCATTTTCTTCAGAAATTAGGCTGTGCAATCACACTGTCTGTGCCTTTTCCCCTTCAAAACTTCTCAGGTGACGTTAAGCAACATGACTGCAGAGACAGGGCTCTGACAGACAACTACGTTCTTGCACGTTTCAGGAGAGCGCGGAGCCCGAGAGATGAGGGCAGCTTCACAGGGGCAGAGGCTGCAGCACGTCCCTTACTCCAGATTAAAAAAAAATTCTGGTGAGACAGTTTTTCTTAAGTACTTCATTATTTTTTTTTTTAAGAATACTTAAACTACATTAACAAAAACCCCTCTCATATGTTAAACAAAAGCTGATGAAAGAGCAATTCCCAGTATCAAGAGCTGTAACACAATGAAAAAACGCCCGAGGACACTTACGCAGTTGTACGACGGCGCTTTCCCCGTTGGTTGCAATGTAGTGCAGGGTTTGCTCTCCGTAGTATGAAGCACCTGTTTTATCCACTTCTGTACTAGCTATGACTAGCACAGCAGTAGCTAATAGAAGAGACACAGTTACTGCAATTCCTGCAGTAATTACTGCAATTACTGTAAATTACTGAACCGCAAATTCTCCAAACTATTTCACAAACTGCCACGAACAAAAATAAATTAGTTTGATTATGAATTCTAGTTTGTAGCTTGTGTAGCAGTGCTGCTATCACTCCCCTCTGAATTTTAGTGTTCCTGAATTATAAACCAAACAGAACGAATCCGTTCCTTTCTCAGATGAAAAGTGTAAGCTAAGTCTGTTCATTCACCATTGAATTATGAGAAAGTGAACACACTTTTGCAGCCACTCATCTAAGGCAGAAACCAACCATCTTGAACAGTCCTTGAATAAAATGTTTCGCCAACAGCTTTGGTACGTACATCTATTTTATCCAAAACTGTGTGCCCACATGTACATAACACCTTCCCTGTATTCCAAACAATGCAGATTGAAATAAAACTTTTTTTTTTTTTTTTTTTACAAAACTATTCTGAAACAGCTCATTTCTAACAAAGAGCAAAGCACATAGAGGACTGTGCAAGTCATCTCACTTGTGATATGTCTGTGTATGGACAATTTTACAAGATTAAGACCAGTTTATGCTGTAGTATAATCTTATGTTTACAGTCTAAATACATTATCATCACAGAATTAAATTTGAATTTGCTATTCAACTGCAAAATTTACCAACATATAAAATACTCTAAATTACAATCTACAAAACCATGGAAGTCAACACAGGAAAGTTACGAGCACTTCAGGGCACTGCCATTAATAGCTATCTTCAGGACTTATCTGCACATGCAAATTAAATGCAGAACTCACACAGTAAACAAAGTAATTAAATCCAAAATGGGTGGAATGTAAAAGTTTAAACACACAGCTGTTGTACCTTTTTTGTTCCATAGCATTGTCACCTTGTCAGCTTTAAAGAAACTTTTATTGGCTAGTGCAGACTGAGGGCCACCGAAGTTGGGATACTGATAGAGTCTAACGAAGGAGGGCGCGCCTTTACTGCCCGGCACGTACACGGCCACCTAAGACAGAGCCACGAGATTTTACTGCAGATTATGTTCTTGGTAGCACAGGGTCTATTCACTACTAGTAAGTTGTACTAAAATTACACTATTTTTTTGAAGAAAACCAAGAAAAAAAGAATTGGAAACAACATCAGAAGTACCTTGGTTGGCTGCGCTCCTGGAGATAACACAAAATCATTAACCTTTTGCAAATGCAGTTTATTTGCAATAGTATCTGCAAAAAAAAAAAAGGTCACAGATGTGATGATGACAAACCATGTTAGCCTGGAATACTTAACTATACCTTTTTATGGGTCTGTATCATGGATAATAAAGAACAGTATATACAATGATAAAGGATTGCTTTTACTAGGCAAACAACCATTACCTTCCCATTTCATGACACGTTTTTATTTACAAAGCCAACCTGAACCAAGCTGAGGTCTGAAATTCAGTATTTAGCATTTGGAAGTTCAAACAGCAAGAAGCTTCTGAACCCCATGTGAACACAGCTCGTGTTTCAAACAAGCCACCGTGTTCTTCATCTTATCTGTGCTGACTTCAGAGGAAGCAGCATCAGCCACAGCCAGATAACAGGCACCATTACACAGAGCCAGGGGTTCTCCCTCGCAGCTTGACGGGACAATTCATCCAGGCCTGTGCTGGGCTGAACATTGCCCCTTTGCACAAACAACTTATGGGAAACACATCTTTAAAAAGTAATCCAACAACATCAACCCATCACGTTACTCCAGCAACGGAGACCTCGTGCTGGAAAAGACATTCCACGCTTCCCTGGTATAACTTTGTTAACATTAGCAGGGCTAATTCTCAGGAAAAAGCATCTCTCAGGCTGGATTTTTAGCTCTCAGAATAAATTCTTGTATCAGCTTTACATTTAAACAAATAAATAACCAAAAAAAACACCACCACAACAGCAAACAAAGTCACAGACCACTGTCCTCCTCCCAGGAGTTTTCTTGTCTTCCTTTAAATTTTTGTTCTAATTCATTTTTATCTTCCTGCTTTTTTATTCCTTCTTTCCCTTTTAAACCTCTGTTGACTTCAAATATTCTACCACTAGTAGTAAATTTCCTTGGAAAAATTGCTCTAGCTTCACAACTTCTTTTTTGCCCTCAATTTTCATTTTTTAATACCGACAATTTCCTGCATCTCATTAAATGAGAAACAATACAGACTCAGGCCTCTTTAACTGTAAATTAGATGCTTTTCATACTAGGTAAGTCACTAAAAAGATAAACAAGTGAAAACATACTTCATTAAAACATAATTATTCTGAATCCCAAATTAAAACAGAATGTAAGCAATGTTTCAAATAAAAAGCAAGCAAAAGAAGAAACGAGGAATAAAATTGAAAACAAACAAAAAAAACCACCCCCAAGAAGATGCCTATACAGAACACAGTGAACGGAAATACTTGCGTACTAAAGTTGTTGTTTTCAAAGAAGTGCACTTCATTGTTTACATTCCTGGCACAAATGCTTTCATCATCTGCCCAGCACGGACACCTACATTGAAATTAAAAAAAATCAGAAACACTCAGTGATCCTCATCTTTAGCAGTCTAGGACTTTTTTTCCTCCATTTTTAAGGCCCAGCAAGTTCAAACATGATACACGTTTCAAACGGACAAATGACATCTGCATAGTGAAAAATACACAACTAGACTTTCTTATTGTCTCCCCAGCTTCTCCTGTGGTGCAAAATGATAGTGAATTTATACTGAGAGATTAAGAATCATAACTACACACAAAGAATACTTACAAGCACAGATACCTGCTTCCAGCTAGCAGCAGGCAGGATTTTGAACTCTACACTGAAATCTCTCTTTACCTGGATCAGATTTTTGGAAACCACATTTCTTTGAGAACAGTTAGCATCTGGAAGTGTTATTTACCAGTTCTGCATCTTCTTCTGGATGAAAGACTTTAAACATTTTCCAGTTTTCACATCATGAAGCTGCAGGTTGGGCACCCCCGCTGTGCCGTCTTTAGCGGCTGCAACAAAAACACGGATTACAGTAGCGGTCTCTGGGGATTAAATCCACTTCACCACGGTGACATTTCATCTCATGATTCTACAAGCAACCAAACACGCATAAACTTCTTACAAGAAGCACCCTATCCCCCGAGGGACTGAACCCCAGGCTGCTAATTGCTCTACCTATTAACACAGGTCATTCTACAGTCTCTCAGTGTGCAGAAAGAACTAACATTTGGAGGTGCAGGGTTTCCACTCCCCATTACAAGACTAGGGCCACCAACACTAGCACAGCTTCTTTAATGCATGTTTTTTAATCAAAGTCACAAGCAAGCTCTTGACAAACAATGAAGGCATGTTCTCCACTCCCACATTTTGTTCTCAGAAGACTGTGATGCATTTTCTCCATCACGCTGCAGTCACAGCTCTATCTGCCAGCCATCCCCATCTAAATGGGGAACAAACTCGGGAGAGAGGCAGAGGTGAGAATAAAGCCCTCTCAAGTCAGCTGTGCCCAGGGGAGGACATGACTACTCTGAGAGCTTGCAGTTTTCCTTGTCTATACACGAATGCAAACTGCTTGAGCAGCACATTATTCGAACACGCTCTTTGCACTAAGGTCAGTCAGTGATTTTTAGAAACGTGATTTATTTAATAGACTAACTGTTGGTACGTGTCCCCTGATGCAGTGTCTCTGAGGACGGTCGATACTGGATGCTTTCAGAAGATGGCATCCCTTCCCTCCCCCCTCCACTTGATCACCCACACGATTTTCTCTACACTTTCTATATTGCTCATTTAGCCAATAAATGTGCTACCATGACAAATCAGGTAGTGGAAAGCCTGCAAGCTGAATTCAAACACGTAGTCACCCCGTGTACTTTTACAGCTGGTGAAACACTCACTTGCATAGGCCTGCCACGTGGCCAGAATGTTATTCTTTGGTGAGAATTCAAGGCAAACTGCCTTTGGAAGATCAAAGGAACGCAGTAACTCGGCGCTGGTGACATTAACAATATTTACCCTGGAACCAAAAGATGCTGTTTCAATAAAACATGCCTGAATAGTTAATTAATAGCCAAGGTAACTTTTCACATATTCAACTCTTCTAGACCTGTCCCAAATTTGGCCAATGTAACAAAATTGGAAGAGCTTTTTTCCCTTCCTGCTTTCACTAAATTTTTGCAAGAACACATTTTAAAACCAGATACTCAAGCACAACAGAAACCAAGTGAAGCATTGGTCCAAATGTACCACATATTTTTATCTGCAACATTTAAGCTCTGAACGAGAGACAAGATATACTCTATCTGTAGAGAGTCCATCCATAGCACTGAACTGAGCAACATCCAACAGAAAGATTCTAACTGAATTAAAACATGCCTTTATCCCATGTATTTTTAAAGGTCTCCTATCCATCAGGATGCAACATTTAAGATTTGGGCTTTTTGAGGCTGGGGGATGCAGGGAGACACGGACAATAAAAAGCAAAGGTCAGACAGCTGAACTCATGAGGTCACTAGCACCTCTGAACACTGCGTGTTAGAGATCTGACACATACAGAATCCAAAGAAACAAAAAAGATCACATCAAGATGCGTCCAAGCCGCTGTTGTTCTCGGGAGCTGTGTCAGGAGCCTGTTCCTCACCATCTCACTAACTGCTCCTCCTCAGAAATGAAGGAAGACAGCCCCCAAAACAAAGGGGCACAGCAGGACAGGAAACACTTGCCATTTGGAATATTCTCATTTAAAGTACGGGTACCTGGTTGTCTGAAAAACATTTTTCCTCACTAACATTTTCTGGAAACGGACCTCTCCAATTGACAAAAATCAAGTTTTTAATGAGTCTGAATATCTTGGAGAACCACAAACAACAGTGAAAGTAACGAATCCTATGTCTAAGTTACCTACTTTAAAATAAAGGGTTAAATGGTATTGCTAAATACCTTTGTGGATTTTTTTTTAACCTGTTAGTAAGAACACCAACATTTCAGAAGCCTTATCACCTCTTTACAGCAGCAACCCCATGATGCATTCCTCTGTAAAGGATGATCTCTGGCAAACTGTAATACACCTGGTCTATGAAAAAGGAACCCTGTGATGTTTGTACATCAGGTGGATAGACGTTCATTTTCTGTGAGTTTTACTAAGAGATTAATCCCTGAAATCCAGGTACTATCATTCTGGGAACTATGAACAACAATTTAAAAAACCAAATAAAGCATATCCAGATGCCACAGGAATGGGTTCACTATAAACATGAGAAAAAAACAATCAATATTTCATCTGGTACTCGGGAAACAAAACCACCACTGCAAATAATGCATTTAAAGCACGTGTACAAACACCTGCATTGACAGCAACAGCCTTTACACAGACAAGAGCAAATGGGGCATAACTGATCCAGTTTGTTTAACACAATCTAAATGATTAATATCATAAAATGCACCAACTTTTCTCCATTGCACCAGGCAAAGAGGGAACCGTCCTTGCTGAAAGCAACAGCTTTGCAATTTTTTCCAGAGTCCCTAAAGAAATAAGAAATGCACATTAGTATCCAAACACACTGCACAAGTTAAGGTATTTTTAACAAAAATTAGAAGCAACACACCAATTTTCCTGCTGTGCTCCCAAGTGGCACTTTGTAACAGTGCAACCTACTCTGCAGTTGTCCAGTGATTATCACCTGGGCAATGAGAAGTCAGGCAAGCATAGAGCCTTCAAAAGCATCAACTTTCTGAACTACTGACAGTAAGAACAAATTCATTTATACTTGTACATTTTTCAATTCCAGAGTCTACCTTTATTTTTTAGAAAATTACTTCTTTTGTGCAAAAAAAGATTGAAACCAGTGGTGGTAACAGTACCTCTGGAAGGCTGTGCTCTCTGTGAAACTGGGCGGCCCGTTCACCATGTACAGCCCTTCGGATCCTCGCACTGGAACAGAAACAAAGAACCACTCACTGCCCACTCAGAACTGCCCAAAGCAAAAGCACCTTCTCCATTGTGAGCCCTGAGACCTGCACACGCTCCTCTCCTGCCTGCACTTTAAACAAGAGAGGGTTGTAAAGGAAATCAGAAGGTAACACCTCTGAGACACCTCTGGCCTCACGAACCCAATGTGCAGAACCTGAAAATTCTCCTCCACTGCAGGAGCCACACGAGTCCCACAGAGCGGGGCTGAAAAGGGCTGCCCAGACACTCCCCGCAGCCAGGACGAGTTGCCTAAGCACAGGAAGGGCCTAAGCACAGGAAGGGCATTTGCCAAAGGGAGATTATGTCAGACTGATTTTTTTTGCTGACACGAGGCAGGACTCGCCCTATTGTTAGTGTCAACACTGAAGTTCAACTTGGCAAAGAGAAGGTGTGACAGGAACACCCATATAAAACACGAGTTAAATGACACTCTCTCCAGAGATGTTGCCATGCTTATGGCACTAGAAAACAAACAAGAAATAAGGCCAGACTCACCCAAAACCGTGCTGTTGGAATTGCTGTACAGCCAATAAACCAACGTTTTTTGCAGCAGTTCTATTACAAGCACATTGGAATTCAAAGTTAAACCACAAAAGGGGCGGTTGTTACGCGGGCAGCAGCTGTTTTGTGCACTTTCTCGGAACACCAAAGATGCCAACCGAAGTGACCAGTCTTTACTGGCAAACAGGACTCAAGAAAGCAAGACCTGTCCCAGCTGAAGCTGCAGGTTGGAACCCACGTGATGGAACCCACGGGCAGGTGCAGCACCGCAGCGCCTGGGCGACAGTTGTGTCTGACACCAAACATCCTCACACTTAACTGACAAGGACCCTCACCTCACCTCACCTCACCTCCCCCTCACCTCACCTCACCTCCCTCCCCTCCCCTCACCTCCCCTCCCCTCCCCTCACCCCTCTCCCAGCGCTTCGGAAATTAACAAATGGGAAAAATTTTAAGCAACAGTTTATTAGTTTGGAGAAAATACTGTTGGGATAGATTTCACACCCCCAGCTGCTCCAGAGCCCTGCACTTGGCTGGGGGTACACACCATGCCCCCAGCACGCCTCAGGGGTACGTTTCAACAACACTAAGTACAGTCCCTGCCTCAAGTCCATTCTCCAGCTCCTTTATCAGACCCCCAAGGAAAATTAAGATCCAAATCCACAACAGACTGTAGACAGGAAAGTCCAAAATCCCCCCTGAA